GCCCGTTTCATGTATTCCCGCACCTCCTCAGAGGACGGGTCTTGCACTGGGCGTGCTCCCCCTGATATAGAGGCTGTTCTGTGCACAGATCCTGGAATGGTCCCTCTGTGGGGGGGGATGGTAAGTGGGGGTCTCCATGTGACTCGTGGAAGGTAGGTGTCCACCCATGTACGTTGGGTCGGTTCTCCTTCCCCTGGGATTTGTCTGATATGTTCCGCGCGTCTCATGTAGGCGGAGCCTTCCTCAGCGATTGGTCAGAATGGACGCCATGTGGTCTCTGCGTTCCATCACCTCGGAACGACTCCGGACCGCCGTCCTTCTACTCCGTCCAGAACCGGCACCGGATCTGCCTGAATTCTCAGACCGGCTTCCCATGGAGCGCAGAGTCTCCATCATGTACAGGGGAGCTGACCCAGGAGAGGCTTTGCCCGGACCGGGGGATCTGTGATGGTAAGTACCCCTCGGGGGAGGGGCAGGGTGAATGTTACATGAATCTGCCCCTAATGCCCGCCGTCTCTCCCCCTCAGATCTGTGTGTCTGGAGCAAGTGGGGGGAATGGAGTCCGTGCCGGGAGCCCTGCAGTGGTGGCTTCCGCTCTAGATGGCGCCATGTTCATCACCCCATAGATGCCACACAGTGCCGGGGTGCCCGCTACCAGTCTGAGAGCTGTAACACGGCGGCCTGCCCAGGTAAGTGCCCCGAGAATCGGGGGGCGGACTTGGCTCACTTATGCCCCCGACTCAATCTTGTCTGACTCCTCCCACAGGAGAGAAGTGTGAGGACCGCGGGAAGGCCTCCAAGGTGCCATGCGCCAACAAGTGATGTCCTTACACCTGCCCCTGTCCTTACACCTGCCCCTGTCCTTACACCTGCCCCTGTCCTTACACCTGCCCCTGTCCTGCTCTCTCTTGCAGGGTGCCGCTGTCCGGAGGGTTGGCTTCTGCAGGATAAGACTTGCGTGCCGATTGCAGATTGTCGCTGTGGACTTCCAACACCCGAAACCACCTCAGAATATGGACCCGGCGCCGCGCTCCGTATCGGGTGTAACGCCTGGTGGGTCCTCGGTTCTCTCTCATTGTTTGTCTCGGGGCCCCCCTATGCGTGTCTTCATTGTGCGCTCACCTCCACCACGTGACATCTCTGCCTCCTATGTACAGTCTCCCAGCTCCTGAGTGTGTAACACAGCGTGTGATCATTGCCGGGACCTCACTTGTTATGTGTCCTCCATCCTGCTCCCCCCGGTCCTGTAGGGTGCTTAACC